CGCCGCCGACCCGGCAGAGGATTGACGAGCGACCACGAGAGCAGCAGACAGCTGCCGCAAGCTCCGAGGGGGCCAACGCCACGCGTTGCGCCGCCAGCCAGGCGGACGCAATGGGCGTAGCATGGCGGCGCTTCGGGGTCCGCGGCATGGCGACCGGCTGCCCCAGATCAGCCCCCGGCTGGTCTTCTTCCGAATGCGAGGGGCAGGTCCAGCTGGGCTGCGGACGGGGAACCGCGCGCGCCCGAGAAAGCCCCGTGAACCTACGGACGGTCGGCAGCCAAGCCCACGCGCCAGCTGCGACGCACGGCTGAGTCTGCCGAAAGCCGCCCGTGCCAGCTCAGCAGAGAGAGCGTCTTTCCCAGGCCCACAGATCGAATCGGCGCCCTTCTATTCCAGATCGAGACTACAGACCAGCCAGGCGGAATGCACGCTGAATCCTCTGCGCCCGCATTTTAGTCAGGGGCCGACCGGCAGCCCCGGCCGACAAGGCGGGTCTTCTTGACCATGAATTCATTCGAGGCCGCCTTGCGGAGGGCCGCGGAACCAGGGATACGATTGGTACGATGGTCAGGGGTGGTCGGATTTGCGATGGGGTAACCTGTCGCTTGGTCCTCTGTTTTGCTCGTCCTGCCTCTCTCGCTTTACCAAAGTACCTGTTCTTCTCGCGCGTTGGCCACTGGACTTGCGTTTTACCTTCTACATAGTCATGGCCATCGCGACCGCGGGCGTTCTGAAGCGCAGAATCTGCGAACGCAGCAACTTCCGCTGAATGCGAGTTTGCACGAGTCGAAGGCCTTTGACAATCCCACCCCCGCGCCGTGAAGGCCGCGAAAGGCCCAGGGGTACAATCCGAACATGAGAGCCTTCGGCTGGGGATTCCTAGGCGGGGAGGGAGGGGCGTCTTGCCCCGAGCAAGTCGTTAAACTGCCCCGACCTGAGCACGTCGTAATTCTGTTCCGGACTGAGCAGGTTGTTAAACTGCTTCGACCTGAGCAGGTCGTAAACTGTCCGGCGCGCACACGACGGGAGAAAGCCCATTCCATGGGCGACCAACCCGATAAGTGGCGGGCGACCATCCCAAGAATTGGCGGGCACCGGCCCGAATCCGAAGGGGCGACCATCCCAAGGATTGGCATGCGATATCGTTCGCCGCATGTGCGCTCACAGTCTTAATGCTTGAGCCCAGCCGCCTTCAAAACCGAGCCCGGGCAGACAAACCCAAAGAGCTCATTTTGGGCCCGAAAGCGGAAGAAATCGCAATCGTCTTTAAAAGTTCGCAGCAGTTTCGCGGATGGAAGAGGGGGGCGTTTTCAAAGTTGTACCCTCGCCATCTTGCCACGCATTTTGAAAGCCCGCAGCATGTGCGCGGATGAAAGGGGGAGCCATTTTCAAATTGTGGTTTCCGTTTGAGCACCGCGCACATCCGCCCCCAAAACTCGCAACCGCTTCAAGCATGTACGGTGTGCTGTTTACAAAATGGGGTCATCGTTTGGGACAACCGAGACTTGTTGAATACCACGAACGTCGACGTATCTACCACACGCATGGAGGAAGGCGTTTGTCCAAACTGGGGCTATCGTTTGGGATTTTCCATAATGCATTGCCACGAATGTGAAATTGTACAGCAAATACAGGGGCGGAAGGGCGGTCATTCAAAATGTGGATATCGATCGCCATATCGTGAACTGGTGCGATAATGCACATTGCGTTCCAGACTACGCGTTAGACGGATACAACGCATCCCCTTTTCAAAACGGAGCCCTCGCCTGAACGGCAGACTCATTTGGTGATGTTGTTTGCCCAAGAGTCGTTTATTCCAGTGAGAAGGAATGATGAAACGGATTCATGGGGAGGGGACTTCGGACGAGATGGCGTGCTGTAGCATCGTTGATGCATGTTTGGTTTACTCAGGTTTTCCCTTGTTCTACTCTTCTAGGGGTCAGGAAGAGCGCGACTACACTGGAGACGGGGTCCCAGTTGATGGGTTCAGCGAAACATCGCCGATGCGGCTCCAATCAGAGCTCTGTGTTGTCCATCCCGATGGCGCCGATGCATCGTTGATGCAACGCGATCCTCCGACCCCATTTTCTCACGGACTCCATTGTGGGCGGCCTCCAGGCTAGGGAGTGTGTCGTCGCAGGCGAGCTCCCACCCCCCAGTCCCCGAGTCACCCCCCCCAACAGCTGACCGTTTTCAGACGAGAAAGGGAAGCTCGGGGATGCAGAGGAGGCGAATCGGCAGTACATCCATAGCGGATGGGCTCCCCGTATTGTGCATCCTTGAGTCGGGTCCCAATTTGTTTTGTTCAGGCGCCAGATTCCCCGTCAGAGGAAGACGTGGAGGCGACACACACACACACACACACTTCCAGCGTTTCAAACACAAAGACAGCGAGAGAGAGAGAGAGAGAGAGACCGTTAGCTTACCTCTGGAGAGCCCGCTCCCAGTTAGCTGGGTCACCCGCGGGGGCGCGAAGATGGCAGCGTTTCGCGCGTCGCGGCCCGAGCCAGAGGATGTGCCCTTGTCCCGGGGTGGCAAAGAGTGCGAAGCCAACCGCGCATCGCGGGGAGTCATGTGCAGAGGTAGGTGACGTACAATGTTCGTCCCAGTTCGCGCGTCGCCGCCGGGTGGTTTTTGGCATGAGTCATCGTGAATTGGTTCCCTCAAGGTTGAGAGGCGTATCGAATATTCTTTGTTCAGCGGCCCTTGAAAAGTTGGCGGACGCGCTGGGTTCTTGGCTGAATACTACGCCGCCCACGCACATCGATGCGCTGGCTGGGGGCAAGCTCTCTGCGGCGCGATTTAAATGTTGTCCTGGTAGTTGTGACAAGACCTGTCGGTTATCGCTCAGTCATTAGAAGTCGCATGGAATGCCTGTCACTAGCAGGGCACAGGCAAGTGTGCCGTGATAGCCACTGTGTCAGTGTGCAGCCTCATCATAAAGTCAGGGCGGATGTGCGGTTCGATTAGTAAACGCGGACCCGTGAGTTGCCCCTCCCGGCACCCCTTCCCTCCACGACACCTTTTTGTTCGCCCAGGAGACCATTTCTTTATTGCTTGGGGCATGACGGGCGTCATGGCCCCCGCCCCCCCCCATGACGTAACGCTCCCCCCCCAGTGCGCTCCGGGCATTGCCGCCGTGCGTATTGGGATCCGCGTAGGACTCCGCATAGGAGTCTGGTCCGCAGTCGTCGACTTCGTCGTCGTCGTCGTCGCTCGTGGCTCGTGGCTCGTCGCTCGTCGCTCATCGTCGTCGTGCGCGCGGACGCGGCTGGAGCCTATTTTCTATTCCAGGCCGATGACGGCAATCATCTGGGGGGGTGGAGGGGGTCGATGACGTCACGTTTCGCGCCGGCGGCGCCTGGGAATGCCTAGGAATGACGGAGGACGGGTGGCACCAGCATGTAGGTGGCGATCTGCACCACAACGCTTGTGTACACCTCAGTGCCTGCGTGCACCACAGCGCCTGTGTACACCACACCGCCTAAGTACACTACAGCAGCCGCGTGCAACCGAGCGTCAGTTTGTGCCACCGCGCGTGCGGGAACAACAGCTCTTGTGTACACCACAGCGCCTGCGTACACCGCATCAGCCGTGTGCAACACTGCATTGTACACCACAATGCCTGCGTGCATTGCAGTGCCTGTGTACACCATTGTGTGCACCACAGCAACCGTGTGCAACACAGCACCACTGTTGTATGTAGAATGTTAGAAATAATCATTATGACAAAATGGAGCGCTTGTGGATTCCACCGAAAACGCCATAAAATAATCCTTATGGACAAGGGAGCGCCAGGGGAATCTACGAGTCCTTCCGAGTTCGCCCGCATCACCGTAACTCCTCCCATCTGCGTCCAGGAGGCTCCAGCTAAATTGGCCGTCCGAGAACCAAGTGGGCCGATTCAATAGACCATTTTGCGGTGCACGCTGAGTTGCGCACGTGCGGTGTAGCGCCAACCCGCACGACAGGGGGGTAAGGAGGAGGAGGAGGAAGAGAAAAAAGAGGAGGAGGAGGTGGAGGAGGAGGAGGAGTTGGAAGTGGAGGAGAAGGGAAGAGGGAAACACGTCGCATTCGATTATCAGCACTTTCCTGGCGTCCGCAGCAGATCCTCACGGGCAGGCTCCTTCTACCTGTCCTATGCACGCAGGCACTGTGGTGTACAATAGCGCTGCGATGCACGCGGATGCTGTGGTGTGGACAGGCGCTGTGGCGTGCACAGGCGCCGCGGTGCACGCAAGCATTGTGGTGTACACAGGCGCTGTGTCACACATGATTGCCTCCAGTGTGCAAATGTACCCCGGCGCTGCAGTGTACGCAAGCTCTGCAGTATACACAGGCGCTGCGTTGCACACGGTTGTTCCGATGTACGCAGGCGTTGTGGTGTACACGCGCGCTGTGGTGCACGCGAGCGTTGTGGTGCACACAGGCGCAAGGGGGCAGATCGCCACCTACGTGCTGCTCGCGTCGTCGTCGTCCTCGTCGTCGTCGTCGTCGCTTGCCGCTCGTCGCGTCGTGCGCGCGGGCGCGGCTGTAGTGCCAGAGCCACACGGCAGGGGGGGGGGGGGGCGTTACGTCATACCCCCCCTGCCCCCCCCCCCTCCCCCCCCAATGACGCCCGTCATCGCCGAACATAAAGAAACACTTTCCAGGCCGCCCAAATCGGGTGGCATGATCGCGCCGCATCGGCGCGGCAGCGGCAAGGCGGCGCGGTCTGGAGACCGATGTCATCCGTGTCGACTTGGCATCGCTCGGACGTGTGCACTGTTTCTCGGCGAGGGCAATCGGGGAGCATATTGGATCATCCTGCAGATTTTAAAGATACACGCACGACGCCGAAGAATGCACGAGGGATGAACGTCCGAGCGATGGCGAGCCTCTCACGTTGCCGATGCATCGGCGGCGCATTGTGATCTTCGGACCCCACCTGCTCGGACCCCCAACCGGGCGGGGCCCCAAAGCTCGGCCGTGCGCCTGGCCGCGGCCCGCGGCGCCCGGAGTTCCGGAAGCCCCCCCTCGCGGGCATGCTCAACACGTTCGACTTCGAGTCGGTCGCCAGGGAGGTCATGGAGCCACAGGCCACGGCGGCCGGCGCTCAGAGGAAGTGTACCGATGTTGCTCATTGCCCGTGCCTCCCCTTCGCTTATGTAGGTCTCCTGGGAGGCCCTCATCGCCACGGCCGGATCCTCCTCGATATTCTGGTCAGGACGCACACCTGGAGAGCTCCGGGGAGTTGCGGAAACGGCATCTGTTCGTTCCCCCAGAAAGGGCGGTTGAGAAGGGAAGCATTTGAGGCAGGGCCCGAGGGAGCCGTGCCAGCGAGCGTCGTGTCCAGGCCTCTGCTCCAGGCGCGCCCCAAGAGAAGTCGAGGCAGATGGGGGTCGCAGGATCGCGCCGCTTCGCTTTTACATCGGCGATCCGACTCGATCTTCCGATCACATCTAGTCCGTTTCCATTCTGGGGGCCTCCATCTACGGCGAGTTCGTGTCGAGTCGACGCGGCGACGACCCCAGCGCGTGCGTTCAAGGTTGAACGCCAATGTCGACCGATCTGTGCTGTCGGAAAGCCCAGATCGCTCCAGGAGGTCGAACGACCCACGCGGAGTCAAAAACCAGCGCCCAGGATCGGGCCTGACGAAAGGGGGGATAGGGAAAGAGGGGGAGTGCGAAATTTGCTGCATGCAGCTGGTTTCCGCCCCGCCGCCGGGCCCATTTGTCGATACATGGGCGCCTCTCGGCGCCAGTAGCCGCCAAGCAAACCAGCTAGGTGAGCTGATTCTCTACCCTGCCCTTTGCTATCCTAGGCTTTCGTGCCCCACGACAGGACATCAAGTCAGTAGCTTGCCTCAGGCTCCTCGCGGGCCCGCCAGGCCACTGGGGAGCCCCCGGGGGCCCCGCGATCCACCCCGCGACCCACCCCGTGCCCGCCCCCGCACTCTTCTCCGCAGCTGCGGGGTGCTACATCTTGTAGGCTTATTCGGAACCATTCTAGTGTTTCCAATTGGCGCTGCACTGCAGGTTTCGTTGTAAGATCGACGGTGTGCTCCCGTCGTTGACAAAGGTGCTCTCACCCAAGCGCGGGCCACAATTCTGGATCTGCGCTTTTCATTGTCAGTGACACTCCGCTCTTTTCCCCTCCGCCTTCCACTTGTGCTCCGGCTCATGCTGCTTATTTTCTTCGTTGTCTTCCTTCCTCATGTCGTTCGTCCTGCCATCCTCTCTCTAATCTGCCACCTTCTCCTCCAATGTACACAGTTCCCTACTTTTGCCTGCGCATAAAGGGTTGCAGGTCCTCTACGACACTCGCCAGCGAATGCCGAAGGGTCAGCGCATCGGGAAGGGATGGGTGGAAGGGATGGGGTGCAGATATGTCGCCCCTCCTCCTCCTCCTCCTCCTCCTCCTCCTCCTCCTCCTCCTCCTCCTCCTCCTCCTCCTCCTCCTCCTCCTCCTCCTCCTCCCCCTCACTTACTCACTCCAGGGCCCATCTCGATCTGGCGAATCTGATTCGATGCCGATTACGCGTTACCCTGGCGCAGAGAGCACCGACAGTCAATTACTACATCGTCATCATCGTCCTCGTCTCTTTCCTCTTTCAGCGATGTTTCGCACGCTTGCAATGCGGATTTTGATTTGGAGCCATGGGTCGATTGGATGGAAAAGGCTACGCATGATGCTGAGCAACGTGTTTCGTGCCTGAATCTGCGTGATCGGGTTGCAAAACACCGCGAAGCAGCGGTCCGTTGGCTTGGCCGCGTGAGTACTGACAACGAGTCGCGGGCACAGACTGCATTCAATTGGGGGCCAGAGGATCGCGTCAGGCGGTGTCGGGGGCAATGCAAGCGCTGGCTGGAATGCACCGTCGAGTACCAGAACTGAGGGCGCTGAGGCGCCACCACACCACCCGTCTCGGGACAGCCTACGGGCCGATGGAGCGCGTTCGTTCGTTCGTTAGGCGTTTGCGTGAGGCTCGGGCAGGCCTGCGCGAGCGTTCCCATGCCCGAGCCAAGCGGGGGGGGGCCCGCCCTGCACGGCCGCCGCCTTGCAGCGCGCATCGCAGCATCGCGCGCGCGTGCGCGCGGGCGGGGGCCCGCGCAGAAAAGGAGGGGGGAGCGCTTCGTTGCCCTGCGCAAGTGGCGCTGTGTTGTTGTTTTGCAGCTTGTCCTCTTGCGCACGGCTGCCACGGGCGCCGAGCTTGATTCATTCATTGGAAGGCCGCCGATTGCAGAGCGCGGCGCCCCAGCAGAGGTCGCGGCGACCGACGGCCTCGAGTCGCTCGTGGAATTTTGCCGACCAGCTGGCTCACGAACGGGAGGCCTAGGCGCGTGGAGTCGCGCGCTCACGCGCACGCGTGGGTCGCTGCCAGGGCGCGCGCCGGCTCCCGCGCCGCGAGCGTCGGCGCGTTCGCCCGCCCGGCCCAGCGGTCCGCGCCTGCGCGGCCAGCGCCCCAGCCCTCGCCGACGCCGCAGGCGGAGCTCGCGGCCGCCAGCGCGCGCAATTGCCCGCGGCCAGGCGCGACGCCGCCGCGGAAGTGGCGCGCCCGGCCGCCGCGTGGCGCGCGGACCTCGGCGACCGCCAGCGCGGGCTCGCCGCCGGCGCCGACGGGCCTGTGGCTTGCCACCTCTCGCGTTTCGAGGTGGCGCGCCTGCGCGGCGCGCTGCGAGCGCGGCGACGCTGGCGCGAGCGGGTGGAGGCGCGAGCGCTGGCCCCCGCACCGCGGCTGGCTGTCCCCTGACCGTGGACGAGTTCGCGCTCGGTCACTGGAGCGCGCGAACCTCGGCTTGCGGCGACTCTCCGCTTGGAAGCACACCCGCCGGAAAAGGATCCAAAGACAGGCGAGGGACTTCCGCCGCCGAAGCAGGATGTGGTCCTGGAGCCTAAAATTTTATTCCGGGCCGAGGATTGCCCGAGGCAGCGCGCGGCGGCCTCGGGAAGGATGCGCCTTCCGAGCGCGGCGTCAAAATTACCATTGTTGCTGGTGTTCGGGCTGGCGCGATACCGACACCTTCTGCGGTCTCGCCCGCTCGAGCACTGCAGGCCCTTCTGATTCCGTGGCAAATGGGGGGCGCCAGGGGCGCGGGGAGCTTTCGATTTGTCCTCGCCCGCTGGGCAGGCGGCGGACCACTTCTGGCGAAAGTGGCACGCCCTGGCAGATCAGGGGCCACCAGCGGAGGAAGTCCATCCTCTGGCTGCGTCCTCGACGCGCAGGGCGGGGCGCCCGTCAGCTTGACTCTTCGACGCCGACGCGCGAATCTAGCGTGACCTGGCTGCCCCGATGTGGAACGCGGACCAGCGCGATTCATTGACATCGCATTCGTTGCGCCGTTTCATGACGATGCTCGCGTCGGCGGCGAAGATCCGATGAGAAGACCGCGTCGTCGACGGCAACTGGAGTTAGCCAGGAGAGCGCGTCAAAAATCGAATGCCGATCCGCTATATAAGCCAGCGCCGCGAGGTGGCGACGCCGGTGCGATTATCCACGCGCGACGAATTTCAGCTCGCGCGGGAACACGCGCGGGGCCCGTTGAGCTCAGAACAGTTTTGCGCGCTGGCTTCACGCCGCAGGCCTGGGAGACAGGCGCGCCGCGATTTGTCGACAAAGGCGGCGCGGGACATCGCGTCCGCGCCCGCATGGGCGCGACCGCGCCATCTGCCGCCGGGCATTGGAGGAATTGTGCAGGCGTCGGCTTCGCAATTCGCGCCTGGCTCCGGCGCGATTGGATCCCGCGCCGGCAGGCGAAGCCAGCGCGGCGGCCGGGGCTTGGGCGCAGCAGGCAGGTCTGGCCGCAGAAACGATCCAGCGCGCGGGCTCGACGCCGCCCCAGCAGCCCTTGGCCGCGCGGGGGGCGCCCGGCGACCGCGACCGCGCGCGCGAAGGCAGCTCAGCCAGTTTCGGGGGAGCGGGGCGCAAAGCCCCCCAGCATCGCGCGCCATGCGACCGTGAGGAGCAGCGCCAGTCAGATTCGGATTTAGCCAGTCTCGGCGGGGTCTTCTTTCGTTGAGCGTCGTACCACCCCTAATCTTCATAGCGCCATGGATTTTTTGCCGAATTTGGGTCCAGGGTTTTCAGCGATATCCTTAATCATGTTTTTTTGTTTCCGCATGTGATACGCCTGCAAAAAAGAACCCCCTATCCCTCCGAGGCCCCCTCCCAAAAGGACAAGAAATACTTTCATTCCCTACCTAGGCTCTGCCTAGAAGGGTTCTTGCTCTCCTAGCTAAAGGGGCCGGGCAACGGAAACCGCCCCGGGCGAATCCCCCAGCCCCCCCCCCCGCGGTTCCCCCAGCCCCTTGGGAGCTTTAGCCTTAGCTTTAGCTTTAGCTTAGCTTTAGCTTTAGCTTTAGCTTAGCTTTAGCTTAGTGTTAGCTTAGCTTTAGCTGAGCTTTAGCCTAGATTTAGCTTAGCTTTAGCTTAGTTTCAGCTTAGTGTTAGTTTAGCTTTAGCTTAGCTTTAGCTTAGCTTTAGCTTAGCTTCAGCTTAGTGTTAGCTTAGCTTTAGCTTAGTGTTAGCTTTAGCTTTAGCTGAGCTTTAGCTCAGCTTTAGCTTAGTTTTAGCTTAGCTTTAGCTTTAGCTTAGCTCTAGCTTAGCTTTAGCTTAGCTCTACCTTAGCTTTAGCTTAGCTTTAACTTAACTTCGGCTTAGATTTAGCTTAGCTTGAGCTTAGCTTTAGCTTTAGCTTAGCTTCAGCTTAGCTTCAGCTTAGCTCAGCTCTAGCTTAGTGTTAGCTTAGTGTTAGCTTAGCTTTAGCTTAGCTTCAGCTTAGCTTGAGCTTTAGCTTGAGCTTAGCTTGAGCTTAGCTTTAGCTTAGCTTTAGCTTACCTTTAGCTTAGCTGTAGCTTAGCTTTAGCTTAGCTTTAGCTTAGCTTTAGCTTCGCTTTAGCTTAGCTTTAGCTTAGCGTTAGCTTAGCTTCAGCTTAAGCTTCAGCGTTAGCTTAGCTTTAGCTTAGCTTTAGCTTAGCTTCAGCTTAGTGCTGGCTGAGCCTTAGCTTAGCTTTAGCTTAGCTGTAGCTTACCTTCAGCTTAGCTTCAGCTTAGTGTTAGCTGGTCTTTAGCTTAGTGTTAGCTTAGCTTTAGCTTAGCTTCAGCTTAGCTTTAGCTTAGCCTTAGCTTAGCGTTAGCTTCAGCTTTAGCTTAAGCTTCAGCTTGAGCTTAGCTTTAGCTAAGCTTGAGCTTAGCTTTAGCTTACCTTTAGCTTAGCTTTAGCTTTATCTTAGCTTCAGCTTAGCTTTAGCCTTAGCCTCAGCTTAGCTTTAGCTTTCGCTTAGCGTCAGCTTAGCTTTAGCTTAGTTTTAGCTTAGCTTTAGCTTAGCATTAGCCGAGCTTTAGCTGAGCTTTAGCTTTAGCTTTAGCTTATTTTAGCTTAGTTTTAGCTTAGCTGTAGCTTAGCTTCAGTTTAGCTTCAACTTAGCTTTAACTTAGTGCTAGCTTAGCCTTAGCTTAGCCTTAGCTTTAGCTTTCGCTTAGCGTCAGCTTAGCTTTAGCTTAGCTTTAGCTTAGCTTTAGCTTAGCTTTAGCTTAGCTTTAGCTTAGCGTTAGCTTAGCTTTAGCTTAGCTTTAGCTTAGCTTTAGCTTAGCTTTACTGTTACTACTAATGCTGCTTTCCTAGGGGCTCCAACTCCTAGGTAGGGTCGCGCTGAGATAATTGCTTATCATGTTCCATTCCGGGGGAGCGCAAAGCCCATGGCATCGCGCGACGGGCGCCCATCCTAGACGGCGCCATGCGTCATTTGATCCAGCCCGCGCAGGTTCAGATCCTTCAGCACTCTGGAGTATAGCGCAAAGCCCCCGGCGTCGCGCGCCAGCGCCAGGCGACAGCGCAGGCTTGCGCCAGTGCGCCTTGGATTCAGCCAGCCCAGGCGAGGGCGCATACATTTTCTGGACGCGCCGCCCGTCGCGCGCCAGTGGGCCACCCTGGACCAGCTCGTGTCAGGGTTTTCTCAGTCCCGAGGGAACGCAAAGCCCCCGGCGTCTCGCGCCAGGCGGCCGCGCAGGAAAGCGCCATTTCGATCTCTGGTCACGGGGGAGCGCAAAGACCCCGGGTCGCGCGCCAGGTGGCCAGTCTGGGCGGCGCCGCCGTGCCATATCATCGGCCAACACAGGCTAGCGCATGTTCCGCAGATGGAGCGCAATACCCCCGCCGCGTCCTGCGCCAAGCGACACCGTCCCCCATGGCAACACCGCTCTTGCCGACCCCTGTTAGGCCCAGGATTATGTTTGTTTCGGTTGGGGGTGGGTGTGTTAGTTTGGGCCCCTGCCCCGCTCGCGCATGGAGGGAACAGTAGATCGGGTATGGCCGGTCTGATCCGACTCGACTCCAATATTCCGACGATTCGATACGGCCCGATGCGCATTCCGACGTTGTGTGCCCTTGCGCGGCCGATTCGATTTGATCCGGGCTCCGCGGCGATGCGGCCCGATTCGACGCATTCGGCGACGAGTGACCTTCTCGCCAGGGTGACCTAGATGACTAAATGCGATGCGATAGCAGCGTCTTGCGCGCCCGGGCTTGGCCTCCCCACGGCCCCCGAAAGTCGCGCACCAAAGGGCAATTTTGCCTAGGGTCACTCATTGCGCGTGGCCGAGCGTATGTTCCGATCCGATCCGAGTTGCCGATTTGATACTGACAATTCCCGTCCTCCCTCGTGAGGGCGTCGTGGGCCCGCTTCCACCACATCTCGGCAAGAGTGCCAGGGGGAGAGTCGGTCGGGACGGAGAGAAAGAGAGAGAGAGAGAGAAGCAAAAAAAACATAGATAACAACAACAAAGGAAGAGTCGAACAAGAAGCTAGTGTCTGCAACGCGCAAAGGGGGGTAGGAGTCGGGGGGAAGGCTTCTTAGGAACACCCCCGTTTCGTAGAAGGCGCGGGCCTCGTCTGTAGATGCAGGGCCGGTGCGTTCTAAGAAACAGTCTCCTTCTAAAGAAGCCCCCCCTAGTTACCCCCTTGTGCGCGCCAGAGAGAGAGAGAGAACAAACAAAAAAAAGAGAGACTCGAAAGACACCAAGAAGAAGCATGTGGGCGACGGGAGAGAGCGGGGACGACTGCACCGACATCATCACGTGAGCTTTTTGCGTAAGGTCGCGCGTGAGCACCCTCGTTTCCGATGTGGTTTGCCGCGCTGGCGGCACGCGTAAGCTCTGGCGTCACGGCGCTACGCCATCCTCCGTAAGACCCCGTCTCTTTTCGTCGCCCAAGTGCGTAAACATAGATTTCCTGAGCGCTGCACGGATTTCTTGGAACGGCGCTGGGCCCCGCTTCTGCGCCTCGGGCGCCGCCTCTGGCGCGAGCGCGCGCTCCGCGCGCCACGGAGGGGGGACCAGCGCCGAACCAAGAAATCCGCGCGGAGTTCCAAAGTTTTGTTTCGCAAGGGTGTCCGCGGTTCGGTCAGCTCGGCTTCTTCGCCACCCGCCGTCGGCTTTGTTCGGTCGAGTCGATCGTTTGTTGTGCCGCTGTATCCTCGCAGGCTGCCTCCAGCCCGTCTGTCTCGGTCGGATTTGGTCTCGCGGTCAGTTCAGTCGGTGTTCGGTTCAACGTCGCCGTGGACGCCGTTGGACAGAAAGGGAGGCCCATGCGCTGAGAGAGAGAGAGAGAAAACAAAAAGAGGGATAGAGAGAGAGATAGAGATACAAAAAGAGCGTCGAAACAACGAGGCACTGCATCAACGAAATGTTCGGAAGTCCGCGCAGTTATGTTCATGCTTACGCCGCTTGATATGATTCTTCGTCCTTATTTTTTCGATCGACTGCAAGAGAGAGAGAGAGGGAGGCCGGTGCCCTCGATGCGAGGCCTGGGGCTACTACTCCAGCGGCGGCGATGACGAGATGGCCTCAGCGCCGATCCTTGCCAGATCGCCCCCCCGCTGGGGCCAGTGCATCACGCCGCCCGACATTCGGCAGAGGGAAACAATCAGTGGACACCCCTCCTCTCCCCCAACTTCGAAGCTGGCACGCGCGGGGAAGACTGCGATCGACGTGCAACTCCCTTTAACCCATCGCCAACATTGATCACTGGGGGGCACTGGCAGATGAATGTGGCATGAGTGTTCGCTAACTTCTTCCGAGGCCTGTCGAGGCGCGCGCCGCCCGAGCGGGTCGGCGGACCCTGTTGTGGGAGCCATCCGGCCCTGGCATCCTTGCGTCGTGAAAGCATCAGGACGGAAAGCTGTTGGCAGTGTTCTGCCTTGGGGGGCCCCCCCCACCAGGCCCCAGGACCAAGCCCGTGCCAGATCATTCCAGAGGACTGTGAGGCAGAGAGCGGTGAAGGAGTGCCGGCAAGGCTCGGGCTGGCGCTCGGAGGCAGCACCCCCAGCGAGTCAGCCTGGTCGTCACAGGGCCTCTGAGTAATCCGGGGCGTTCTCAACACCCCGGCGCCGCCTTCTTCGGCGCCTCTGGGACGCGGGGTGGGGTGGAGCGTTGAGACTGCCGCGGACTGTTCGGAGGGCATGTTGAGGCCAGGAGGGGCGGGGAGTGCCTGTGCGCAACCCCGAGCCTTACCAAAAGTGCAGGCGGCCACTTAGGTATAGCATGGCGGGGACAACTCCGGTCCAATCGGGCCGATTCCAAAATTCCGATGCTGGCCCCGATGTTTGCATGGCGTTGGTTTGTATCTTGGCTCGGACGATCCGATTCGATTTCGATTCCGTGCCCATGCAGCCCGATCCGACGCACGTGCTGATTCGACCCGATTTCCCGATTCGTTGCCGGCTGGTCTTGCCATGGTTGAGTTGTGGTACGGATTTCGTGTTCTCGTCACCCCCTTTCCCTGAAAATTCGCGCTCGAAAATTAGATACAAGCTATACATATATATACATATATATATATGTACGTAGAGAGAAAGAGAGAGAGAGAGAGAGAGAGAAAAAAAAAAGGGACCGCTGGTGGAGGGAGATGTGCGAGTTGAGCGGAGACAAAGGCAGAAACGTGGCTGGAGAGAAGGGAGGCAGAGAGAGGCAGAGGTGCAGTCAAATTCAGCGTCAGGGGTGAGCGTTTGAAGCAAGGCGCCCTTGCGCTCCTCGGATCTGGGGAATATCTGGTCCTCGGCTGGAGCCCCCTGGCGGCGCAAGGGTCCGACGCAGATCCAAACAGTCCGGGCGGAGCTCCGAAAGTCTATATTTGTGCTGTTGTTTTTACTTCTAATCGCCTTGGCGTCTTGCCGCGCTCTAGGCGAGTTGCGTCCTTGTACGCAGTCCGTTCGATCGGTTTTGATTGTAGAGGTTGAGGCGGATACAGGACATCGCTCAGCGTCTCTTAGGGCGGGGAGGCAAGGCGTGGTTCGATTTGTTCGGGCCTTCTCGAGGCTTCCCCATGCTCTTGCGTGGGCATCCATACTCTCGTTGAGCCTGCCAGAGATCTGGTGGCTGATCGCTGCAGATCTGACTCAGGAAAATCCAGTCATGCAGTGACGCGTT